CAAACCTAAATTGATTCACAAGTTATTTCAAACCTAAATTGATTCACAAGTTATTTAGAACGGAAATTTACACACTTTTTAAGACCTACTCAGTTGTGTGTGAGAAGGCAAAAATCTATGTCTATGTGCTTCAGGTAGTCTAGCAACTATTTGCCACGTTTACTGTATTATACTACCAATTAATGTATCATACATTCGTATTTTATAAAGTATGATGACTATTTGAGTTTTCGTTGTTCACTATTGCTGAATACATTTATGAAAAGCTAAAACTGACACAGACAAAATACATTGTAAACACAGCCTATTTAGGAACGGACCATTAGATGTTTGAGTGGTGGTGGGGCAAATACCAAAAAAATTATTCCCTGAATTCAAAAGGTTGCTCTATTCAGTCCTATTTTTTGAGATTAGTAGTTTCACTAAGCACTATCGTGGGGCAGATGGTGATCAACCTAGAGTTGTTAGATTGCGAAAATAATAGTTCTTATATCTAAACACGTGTTCAAATAGAAGTAAAAAATGAATACCTGATTACTCCATAAACAACTCCCGAGCTACCAGTGTCAATCTGCTGCAATTCACCATCCAGTCGTAGCCATCCGTTTCCATACGGTGTATCTGGTTTCACACCTTCTCTGAAGAAATTTCGCAGCGCTTTGCTGACTGCCCAAGTGCCAGATTTTCCAACCGTGACATGAGTAAAGCTGCCGCCCTTTCGCATCCAAGTGCCATTTTGTAATGCATAAATGTATTTTTTGTCTCTTCTCGTGGCCCATGTTTGTCCACCGCCACTGTCAATTTGGGTGATCTTAATCTTGTTGATAGCCTTCCATTTGTGGGAGAATTGTCGCGTTACGTTATCTGTGTAGACACAAAATCATGAAAATAAACTAAAACAAAGACGACTTTATTTCTGTTGGATAGCTCTATTATTTCTAAACTGTTCTCCTTAAGCAATTTCCTTATTGGTTCATTGCTACTCAAGAGATGAAAGCTAGACTAACCTGACATTTTAATTTGAACAACACACAATCTTTACACTTGTTCCAAAAGCATAAATATATGATTATCGAGGAAACTTATCTGGGGCGAGTGTTAACTGTGTTATCAATGAATATTCTTATATTCAGATAGGTAGAATTTCGACAGGTGAATTTCTTTCGGCAACAAGCTTGACCTCGTGGGGTCAGAATGGAGGGTTTTATGAATTAATTATTGTACTTTATTGTACTCTACTGGATAGCTCGTCAGTTCTCAACTGTTCTTCGAGGTACATAAAGGCGAACTCTTGTTAGTATACACTCAACCAAGAACCATTACAAATCCAGCATTCTGATTGGCTCAATACACGCTAACCAAATGGCCTTACGATCGGTACGAACGGAAAATAAGTGATTTATCATCGGTATTTTCAACTGATAATCAACTCCTGTAGAGTAAGACTTAAACAAACTCGCGATATCTTATTAATATGGCAATATATTCTGCTGCGTCTTTCTTAAACAAACACGCAAAGTATTACCATATATGCATGCTTGTTCCCATACGTTAATGCACTTAAACAAACTCGCGAGAGCTTATTATTCATCATATTCATCATTATCTTGCATCAAAGTGTCCATACGCTTTACCTTTAGTTCGTACAAACTATGGAGTTTTTAATATTAACTTTTCGGGCCCTAAAATTTGGAATGATATTGATGAGGCGCTAAAAATATTGAGTATAAGTTTATTTAAAAAGAAATTAAAACAAAGTATAATTGAGCTATATTAATTTGAATATTTGGTTGCTTGATTGCTTAATTCGGATCATATTTATGTTTACTTTTAATTTTCAATTTTGCCATCTTGTAACACATTTATTTAATAATTATTTACTGTATATATTCTACTAGAAATTGATAGCCACCTGTCTCGATTAGCCCCTATGGTTACCTACGGGTGGCTATACACATAATTCTTTTGTTTTATAATGCTTAATGTAGAAAATTGTTGTATCTTGTATTTATAATGTGTGTGCAAAATTATATTATTCTATTCTATTCTGATAATCCTTTTCCCAAACAACCCCAGACCTGAGAGCAGTATATAGTCAAAGTGGGGTTGGATTATCGATAAGTATATTGTAATTAACGTTTGATAATCTACTATATCTCACAGTCGCCTTAAGATGCTGAGACCCGAATTAACCTTTTTTGTAATTTTATCAACTTGGGCATTCCATATTAAAGTTTCATCTATCATTAACCCAAGTGATTTTGTTGTTTCAACTTTATCTATTATATTCACTCTTATATGTATATGTGGTTCTATATCTATTTGTTTAAGTCTTTTATTACTACCTATTATCATATATTTCGTTTTCGTCTTGTTTAAAGTTAGTTTGTTAGCCGATAACCAAGCCGACACATTTTCTAAATCATGATTAAGTTTATCTGTGATTACATTAACATTATCGCTAGATGCTTCAATTTGTGTGTCATCTGCAAAAATATTTGTAATTGTATGCTCTAAGCATTTTGGTAAATCATTAATGCAAATCAAGAACAAGAGTGGGCCCAGAGCCGAACCCTGGGGTATACCATTTATCACGGTTAATGGATCAGATAATTGGCCATTTATTCGGCAATATTGTGTTCGACTTGTTAAGTAAGATCTAAGCCACTGTAATGCCGTTCCTCTTATGCCATAAACATTCAACTTTTTTAAGAGGACTTCGTGGTTAACCGTATCGAAAGCTTTTTTTAGGTCTAACAATATAACACCAGTAAGTTGGCCAATATCCATATTCTGGTACCATCTATTCGTGATATCTAGTAGTGCTGTGACCGTGGAATGAAAAGGTCTAAATCCGTGCTGAGAAATTGATCGTAAATTTGACTAGATTAAATACTCATAGATCTGATTGTCTATTAGCTTCTCCATAATTCTTGCCACAATCGAAATAGCCGATATAGGTCTATAATTAGTCATGCTATGTTTTTCTCCGGATTTATAAGTTGGTGTTACCCTGGCAACCTTCCAAGAGCTACCTTCTGTTCTCGGAGTGCTAACTACCTCATTCCCCCATGGACTTTACATATTTACCGATGGTGGATTCATTTCTCCATCTGTACCGATGGTAAATTGCTTTATCATCGGTACCGATGAATATTCCATATTCACCGATGGTATATTCATTTCTCCATTGGTACGGATGGAAACCGATGGTAGGAATAATTTCACCAAACTAACCGTCGGTATGTTTGTTACAGTATTGGACAACCCTCCCAAAATACGGTTTAAATTAAATTTGCTCCCTACCATTAAATGTCTTCAGGTCATATTTTGTAGTCGTTTTTGTTATTTGGAGAAATAATTTTCGACAAAATTCCCTCAAAATCTTTACAAAACAAAAGTCTTCTGCCATCGTTTTCCTCAATCCTGGTCCGTTACGTAATGGGAGGGTACTAATTCCGCCCGGCTATTTACCCCTGGGGAAAGGAAAGCATTAGCGAATTCTAAAGTTCATCAATGATCGCCCGCACGCGTGGGTTACCGTGAGTGGGTGGTCATCCTCACTGATCTCATAATATAGCGGACTATCATGAATAGCGAACACTGATTGGTCCAATTTAAAATTTGCATTTATAACGACTGCAAGACGACAGCGAAATAAAAAACATTTCTTAATTTGATGATTTCTTGAAAATATATTTCATTTTTGCAAGATTTGGTAAATTTCAAAAGCTTTTTGAAATTGTGTAATTAACAGTGATATTTTTAGGGGATTTTTCATTTGTAAAAATATTCTTAATTAATAAAATTATCGTGTTATCATGACAACTACTTTAAATATTTCATGTTCGGAAAAAACAATGGTATTGTCAGCAAGGCGACTAGGCAAGGATTTCTGCATGCATGTATTTTCTAATAGTATTATCATTCAAACAAGACCCGCATGTATCAGCATATATAGGCAGTCAAATGGCTAGCTATAGGCAAGTCAAATACAAGTATGACTAAATGTTCAAATTTTTAATAGAATTGTGCCTGTCTTGTCGAATGTGGCGAAAGCTCGTAATAAATGTCCAGATAATAATGCAATTTTGCGGTTCTGGATGCCTGCATACGAGCGACGTCATTCACTGCGAACGTTTCATGCGCAGAACCTAATATAGAATTTTTAAATGAGATAGACATCACTCATCAGCTCATCACTGCATGGGTAGATCGTTGGTACCTCGGTTAATGACCATCGTAATAATTGATTGTGAAATCTTTAAATATACCACAATACAATACAATGCAATGCAATGCAATAGGTTCGACACGGCACAAGATACGGCAAGTCATGTATTATGCGACACAGATTCGACATGGGTTTAGCACCGAAATATCTTGTATATTCTACTTGTATTTTGGCATGGTACAATTAAGTGCGAGGTTCGGCGCATAAAAAGTTCGTCGTCTAAACCGCATTATATTTATTTGCTAAGGTTGGGAAGATAATCTAATTTAACATCGTTAATCGTTATGCCTTAAAACTATCGGAAAATGTAACGTGTTGTAACTCACCCAGATATAATAAGTATACTTCTCATCATTAGTAAGATCGGTTGTCTCCACTGTTCTTTGAGAATATAAGCGACACTGTAGTTGTCCAAGGCATTCATCAACAACACCAATACCAAATGATTGGCATTCTGAATTGCCTATGCATCTTATGAAACATTCTCCACTCTGCCGAACACAAAATGTCTGCATAGTTGGCACATCAAATCTCTTTCCTGTTTTCAAGAACAAAGGCATTTGAATCATTGAAAAAATTCATGTGTTAGGGGGCATCCATTTAGCGGAGGGAGTGTAATTGATGCATTTTCGGGAATTGAATCATACTTATTAATAGTTTCAATGGATTGTGTTAAGGGGCTGTTTATGTTGGACGAGCCAGCCCGGGAACCCAAACTGGTCTGTTTTAGACGAGGTCAGGCCTTTGTTTTTATTTCCTACTAAATTTCATTTTGCGTATGGGGACCGAGCTGGCCGACCTCAGCGAGATCCCGTCTCGGCTTACCCAAGACCTCTGGTGACCGGGCTGGGGAATTTTCCATATAAACGCAATTCCCCGGGCTGGCTCGCCGATGCGGGCTGGGTGTTATTGCTCTGTTCACGCGAATATATTGTTGTGAACAGGATTTTCTCGACAGATTTCGATCTTAAAAGGTCTCTGTGAACGATTCTGCGGGTTATAACCGTCGCGAAAGTGCGAATTTCGTGTTTGTCAGAAAATATATTTAGATTGTACTATTATAGCGGTGAGACCAATGGTTTGTTTTGGCGAGCCAGACTGCATGCCTAAAATGTCTTATGTAAACACGGGGTAAAATTGGTCTTGGCAAAGTGGGTTAGCTCCATATAAACTCAACCTTAGGGGGCATCATTTAGTATGTATACACGTCATGAGGGGATCGAGGGGGTACTATTGATGCATACATTTGCGTACAAAGGGGGAGGGGGCTAAACTATTCGTGAGGCACGAAAAATTATTTCCGGGCCAAAAATACTAAAATTTCAACAAATAAAGTAAACTTCGATTGAACATGTGCACATGCAGAGGTTTAAAGGCATGCGCACTAGATAAATAATTTATATCTAAATAAACCAGTGGCGTAACGCTCATTGGGTAGGGTCAGTTAAAAAACTAAAAGCCCCCGACGGTCAGGGGCCGCCATCAACCACGGCCTATCGCCCAGAAAATTAGAAAAAAATGCAGGTTAAGAATCAATGGGAAAATGCAAAATTAACAATGCTAAATAATAAAGCCTCTATCGACAACGGTAGCTGATTTTGTTACTCCATCTCAAATTAAACAAACGTTATTCTTATTAGTTGTTACAGAGAGGTTGGAGATTGTTATTGTTATAGACACGGAATTTTCCAGAACATTCTATAAATATTCAATATAAATAATATCACAGTCAAACAATGATAGCAGTCAACAGGGGCCCCCTCACCAAATATGCCTTAGGGCCCCCTCTTCCTCCGGTACGCCACTGGCACTGACAAGAACCCGCTTCAAAAATAGCGGTAGTGGAACTGCAAATCTGAACCACTCAATGATTTGTGAATGACCAACCTTTTAGCTGTTTTGCTTTGATAATATCGCATGAATTACCATGACCTGTAATATATGATGAATTGATTGTCATTAGATCGTTACAAGCGTCTTATTAATTTTTAATAGGGCACAAATACTCTGCGAGTTCTTGTACCATGCACGCCTTGTTATTTTTAAACTTAAATATTTGTAGCGTTTGTAACTTGGTGCGATACGTGTTGGTTTGTCTGCTGCAGTCAGAGAATAGTTAGTATATACACTTTTGGTTAGACTTATACGACTTGTATAGGCCTACGGCAAAAACAACATGCATGCAGTCAAATGCCATGCTATAGAGGCATGGAAGTTTTGTTTTAAGATTAAATTTAACAAGTTTATTGAATTAAATTTGAGTTTTAATAAAGAACGCCATGCATGAGTTGCGTTGCAAAATTGTTACAATTTTGAAATACTCGTGTTTAAAAAAATTACAATACATATTAAAGTTAAAGATGTTGTTAAAATGTTCTATCTAATCTAATTCTTGCGTGTAAATTGAGAATCTTCCACTGCCCATTTGAAGCAATTATCATACGTATTTAAATGATGCATATAAAGGTCTAAGTATATAAATGTTCTTTAAAGCACGCACGCGTCATTCTTAACTGTGCGCGTCGACGGGTTTTTTTCAGCTCATTACAAATCATCAGCCGCATCGCCGCGTCAAATCTAGACAAACTGACCAGAATCTGAATATTTTTTTACATTTTTGACGTCTAATACCTGTTATATATATCAGTAGTCAATTTAAACGGACTTTATGGCAGCATGTCGAACAGGTAATTGGATTTCCCTACTATTTGCAACGAAAATCCATATAGGCCTACTATTTCCATAGTTATTGCTGTATTGATATTTAATAGGCCATTTTCGGCTAATTCTCGACACTTCCAAAAAAGTTTACTCAAGTTTAAACGCAACTATCTCAGTCAATATTGCATGACATTAGTACATGAATGCAATGCACTTTCTTTAAGTGCAATAGCTCTTTCATTTTTCGAGTTGTAACTCAAACAGGAGAACTTTTTTGCGCCATCTGGTATATTTAAAAATGTGTTCGCAGAAAAAGTATGCGCGCGTGGGTTACATTTTACTCTGTCGATATTTTTTGCTTAAAGGGAAATGGCAATACATTTTTTATTTTCTCATTTGAAAGAACTTTTAAGCATGCCACGTCACAACAAGGGTCACGCAATATTTTTATCTAGACAACCACTAATAATTTTACACTCAAAGCTATACTCTATACTTTTGAAACTCTATATTAACTGCTTTTACCGTTTTTCATATCTTGCTTAGTTCTTGAAATATTTTCACTTGAAGTAATGAGATGTCCGCCATCTTTGATAAATTTTTGATCTCATTAACGGTAGTTTTGGTGACGTCACAACAGGGATTAACCATATAAAAGTATTCGTTGCTGCCCAAATATTGATTGGTAGATGTTTTAAAGGTTTTGAGTGATCTTGATATTTCGAAGGGCAAAAATGATTAGTGGTTGTCTAGATAAAAATATTGCGTGACCCACGTGACATGCTTAACAGTTCTTTCAAATGAGAAAATAAAAAAAATGTATTATTGCCATTTCCCTTTAAGCAAAAAATATCGACAGAGTAAAATGTAGGCCATGCACGCGCATACTTTTTCT